ATTTCAGGCTGCCAGCTCTTAGTTGGAATTATTAATATATAAAGCATAATATTTCAGACCCTTATGTTTTCAATTCAACTTAAAATTTTCAAAATATCTGTCTTCCTAACCTCTCTAACAATGTGATAATACTGCAGTCACTGATAAGAATTAATAGCAAAATCTGCTTATTTTCATATGGGATGCCATCTTTTGAGGTCAGTACCATGTTATCAGATGAAGGGTGGTAAAGGGTTGTATTTAATTCTGAGTAATGTGCCTTTAATCTCATCCTGCACCTGATGTTTGAGCCGTGTAATGAAACTGAAGATTGTGGGTTTCTAGCTGGAGAATATTTATTTTGTAGAATATTGTGTTCTAAAGCTGTTAATTACAGCATTTCCATGCTTTCTGCTGGGTTTCTTGCATTGTTAGCAAGAGGGATTTGTGGGAAGCTCCACAGTTCTTTCTAGAAGCACTTTATTTAGGATTTCAGTGGATGATACCTTGGTCAAGAATAGTCTTATCAGCTGGCAGGTATTTTCTAAAGAGGAAGAATCACAGTTGTACTGAATATAGTCCTATTGTAACAGCAGTGTTTCCAGATTCCTTCAGCAGGCTCAGGAAATGTCTGTTGTGTAATGACTTGTACAATCGATGGCATTCTTTTCAAAGTGTTAGCATCTGTTTCAGACCTGAAAAAACCTTTTTTTTTTTTTTTGTTCTAATGCAAAAGAATAGATTTGTTTTTCAGAAATTCCACTGCGAAACAATTTATGACTTTTCAAAATGAAGTGGCTTAAAAAAGTAAAAGGATATGGACAGTCACCAGGTATGGGAATGTAATTATTTATTATTATGCAGGTGCTCTGATTTTTACAGAAAACATTAATAAAGATTGATGGACTCTACTGCATCTAATTACTGTGTCTAGTAATGCTGAAGATGGTGAGCTGATTCCAAATATAACTGCCAGAAGTCAAAATTTATCTTTCTCTTTTCCGCTCTTTAATTCTCCTCACACCCAACCAATACAAACTTGCTTATTACACCTTCTGTATCGCAATTAGGAGGGGAGCGCAGTAGGCCTGTGTGGCTATAAGTGAAGGCAATTACTTGAAAGAATTGTCATTTTGGTTGTCATTTGGTTGCATAATAACCACATCTGAAGCTGAGTCTTAGAAATTACAGACACTGACTTAAGATGATAAGTGAATTGTTAGGATCGAAAAACTTACATCTTCATTCTTCTAATGCAATGGGTACAAAATGTTTATTGTTTACTGCTGTCTGCTTAGTTAAAACACCAGAAGCAAGTCAGCAAAAAGACGGCATGGGATGGAATGGCAGCTATTTATTCTTATAAGAATGTATACCAAAAATCTCAGTTTGCTTGAAATCTTTGTAATTTCTCCTGAAATAAGCACAAACCTGGAAGAACATTCAGTCTGGTTTGATTTTTGGTGGTGGTGTTTTTTTTCCCCCACTCACTGTGTTTATTGCCTTTTTTCCTTTGTTAACTTTTTACCTTATTAAAGAGGTGTGATTTAAGGAAAGGATGCACAATTAAGGTGGAAAAGATTAAACAAAAAGTTGACAAGTGAAAGACTATTTTTTCAAAATTATTTGGCAAAAATTGCCTAATATGTAAAGTCTTTTTTTTTCCACACACAAAAAAAGAATTGTCAGGCTTCCAAATTACAGATGAAAAGTTCATGAAAATTTCGTGAAAGCCTGTTCTCAAATGTTTCTTTCTCACATTTTTCTTTTTTTGGAAAATTTACCAACCTTTACACTTCTGTAACCCATGCTGATAGATTCAGTCTAGCTGGCCATCCCACAGTTCTGCCAGTACAGAAACTAATACACTGTTCCTCAAACCTTTCTAGATCAGAGCATTAAGTAGGGGTGTGTGTGTGTGTGTGTGTCCCCACTTCTTTTGTATGATCCTTTTCCAGTAAGACCTTTGCAAATTGTGGCTATTTTACAGAGTGTTATGCATGGCGCTCTGAAGGCATTTTAAAGCTCCCACTTCTGAACTATCCACATCTTTATTTGCTCAAGTGTGCTGCACTTTCAACTATGTCATCAAACCTCAGAAGAGGTCAACTCATTTAGAAATAGGTTTATTTTTCTTGTCTAATTTTCATGGTAACACAGTGACGGACACTGGGATCTGGAAGACTTAGTTCCTATTCCACATGCTGCTCATCTCCTAATGAGAAATGTTGTTCAAAAATTAAGAATTGTGTTTATGACCACTGTGATTTGCTGTTTCTCAGGAGTCTCTAAGTGTGTAAAAATGGGAGTGATACACTTCACCGGAAACACTGAATCTTAATCATGCACTTTTTTTTTCTTTTAAATTATGAAGTAAGTTGTTCTTTATGATGGTCCTTGCCAAATTTCTAATCACCTGGAGAGGCAGAGTAGTTTTGCAGATTGACCCTCCTGGAGATGCAGGTTACTTCCGCTTTGTCTCTTCATTTGCTCCAAGGAATTCTTTTCCATTTTAGAAATAGAGTTTATGGACTGATTTTGTAATTTCCCTAATAAATTGAAAGCTTTTGAAAAGTAAAGTCTTAATGCCAATTTAAAGAGGTTTTGGATTAGATTTTGTGCTTTTCTCTTCAGTGAACAACGTGATGCATGGAAAAAATGGTAACATAAATTGAGAGCAGGTTTTGAACTTTGCAGGATTGTAAGACTTTGCGTCTATGTTCATAGAGCAGCAAAATCTGAGAAGACTTTGGGAATGCAGTCTCTGGTTTCTGCCTTCTTCAAGCAAATATATGTGCACTAAGTACATAGCTGCAGAAATAATTACTATTGACAGAGTGAAGTTTGGAAAATGATTATGTGGTAATGAAAAGAAAGCAGTAGAAAAAAGCCTGCCATTGCTGATGACAGGCAAATTAACAACATTTGGAAATGGCACTCCAGCAGAATTTTGGATTAGTGTTCTTTAATTCTTGATTGTGATAGCAAACACTTAAAAAAAAGCACTCTGGCTTTTTATAATCAGACTTCTTGTGCTTGAAGGACTTCTTGATTCAGAAGTTGTGCATGGGGACCTGGAGGAAAACAGAGCAGAAGTAACAAACATTTAAATTATCCAAAACCTCATATAAGAGATTGTCTATATGCAGCGGTTCTTAAAAGCAAAACTGAAGCCTTATGAGTCTATCAACAGTTTCTTTAATCTCATTTCCATTGCTTAGTAGTATATGATGTTGCATAGTTCATTAAGCAAGTGAGACTTTTTACTGATTTTCTGAAATCTGCTGTAAATCACACCTTAGTATTCTAGCTTCTTTGTTCCTAATTGCTTTTTTGCTCTTTCAGTTACTCCTGAGACTGAACAAATAATACTAACCTCAAGTAACTTTCTCAGTTAAATTGTCTTGCCACTTTAAATAGTCTTACCACTTTATCCCTGCTAAAACAGTTTTCATTGTTGGCAACTCATCAAAGATACTATGCCGCTCTGAGAACAAATCAGATAAGTTGTAAGTTCACTGAGTGTAAGGAATCCAGCTTTCATGCGTGTAAATACTTCTCCTTTGAGCGTTTAATGAAAATGATAAGGGGTATCCAAGAGAATGAAAGATGGGTAGGTTCTAGTTTCACTTTTCTGAAAATTTTTCAGTTTTCTCTATTGCAGAGTTCTATATTAAATGTTATTTTCTGATTGCAGGTGTGATCTGGCCTAAGGTCTAGCAGTGAAGGATCTTAGCTTGAAGGAGGTTGTGTTTAGTACTGAGGATCAGAGCTAAAGCTCCTGCAGGTTCTCCTGACAGTGCCTCAGTGCTTGTCTGTTCACACCACATGGCCCAGCATTTGGTTTATGCTACCTTGGCTAAATAAACCCCTGGGATTTACAGTGTGGCTTCAGAAAACAAGAATCGTATGTGAGATATTTGCTTTAAAGGTTTGCACATTCCAGTTTTTAAAATACTACATTTGAGGATATATTTGCTCACTGGCAAGTCCATGTTTTGTTTTTTTTCTTGTGGCACAGGGGCTGGTTTCAGTGCATGCACAAACCCCTCTAGACTGACTCTTTAAAAAGGTGTTCAGTTCCCTCTTGCTGACAGTAAGGATCATAGTAGGTGTTTAAATGGTTGTTATCAGCTGCAGTGTAATAAGAATTCTGGTTTCCTTACTAAGTGGAATAATTTGTATTCTCCACCATTGTGGATGTGCCTTCAAGGTGACAAATTCATGCCTTCATGCTTTAGAATGCTGCATAGTGCCAAAAAAGGGATATGTTTAACAGAACAGTTATTCATATGAGAAATGCATTTAGATGTCTTTTATCTTGCTACAAACCCTCAAGTTGGAAAAGGACGCAAAGATTGGCTGTTACTGAATCTGAGAGTAATTTGGCTCTGAGTATAGAATATGTTGTTCAGTTTTGGGTCCTAAACAAAATCAGAATTCTAGGATAGATAGGCTATCTCAGATATGTAGATGTGTTTCCTGCCAGTTCATCATCAGAAATGGGCAGCAACTGCTTCAAAGGGTTACCTGTTTCAAATGTTGGAGAGCATTTTCTGAAACAGGAGAGCAACAGACACATCAGCCGCCCTGATTCTCAAATCTGAAACTGCTAACTAGGGACTGAGAAATAAGGAGAACAGCCTGAGCTCTTGAGGAGTGACGTGGGGTTTAGGCTCATCAATAACCGTGTGTGTGAGATAGAGATGGCAGTCACCTGAGTTCATGCCTCTGTCAGAGGGTGGAGGGCAAAGGGGGCTGGGCTTCTGTTGTTTTCTTTCTTTATGTGAAAAATCTAGGGGCTGACTTGATGTGGGGCAGGTTGGTGCCTTGCTTGTTCAACCTGAAGAAAATAAGGAGAGAAGAAGGAATGGAGAGTTGGAAGTAATGGAAACAGGGAGAGAGACAGGGAGGAAGTGTGTTTTTGAGTGAGACAGGAATAATATTAATAGTAATACATGAGATCTTTTTATCAATGTAAAGAGTACTTAGAAAGACCAGGGAGTGTGGCATATGTAGAATTCTTTTCTTTGTTTTGGCTTTATTTGTTTTTGATAAAGCATTTCACTTCCAGTAACAAGTCAAATTCTCCAAGGAGAGCTGTAACAGGAATAGAATAAGCAAAGAATTAACACCCAGTCCCAGAGGTATATAGCGTCTGTTTCACTTGTCAGGGAATATCAAGAGGGAATACACTGTACTTGGGGTAGGGCGAGTTGTTTCGTGTTTGCCATGATGTACCAGCTGAAAGAAGCAGTGATTCACTGACTTCTGAGGCAAGGCAATAGGTTTGCAAATACCAGCCACAAGAACCTCTCCATTAGTAAAAATTACCTCTGCAGAACAAGTTGCCCTTTTAGAAAACGATCCTGGGGTTTATTTGTTTTTATTTTAACAGCCCTCTCTCTGCTTCTTAGGACCAAAGTGTTAAGGAATCATAAAATATTAATGCTAAATATAAACAGAAGGCACATTCACCAACAAATCTAAAGGTTTACTGAGCTTGTGCTTGTTTTTGAAAACCTGTGAAGTCCTAAATATTTAAACTGAAAGAGATTAAGGGAAATGTGGAAAAATTGCCATTTGACATAATCAAAAATGCTGTTGATCCACAAGTAACATGCTTAAACCCTCAAGGGGAAAGTGGGAGAAAAGCAAGGAGGGAAAAACTATGGTTATATCTTTAATTTTGTATTTTGAAAGTTAGAGCTTGTTCAATCTTTCAGGTTTCTTTGTTGTGTTATTTTGGGTGTTTTTAAGCTAATTAAAAAGGCTTATAGCCACAGTAAATTTACAAAATCTTCAAGCTGAAAATTAAATTGTCTGTTTTGAAAACAATTACTTCCAAAGGGTAGAGTTCTTTTTACCTCTGACTTCTTTCCTCTCTTTTTATGTCTGCAAAACATTCACTCTGTCAGCTAAGGGTAGCGAAAAGGACTTTTAAAATTCAAACAGCTTTTTGTTGAAAAGTTTTGGTTTTGAAAGGAATGCCTTTGCAGAGTTAAATTTGTCATAACTTTAATGGCTCTATGGAATTGCAGTATGTTCTCTGTTATTTTACCATACCTAATTTTAGGTGAAGTGTGTTCATGGCCCTGGGGAGGACATTTCACAGTCTCAGTGTACAAGCCTACACTTACACAGATTCTGTGCTTGCAACTAGAAGGACAAAAAAAGAAAACATGCAAAGAAAATGTAGCTGCTGCAAGTTTAAGATTGACAACTAGTTGGTTTCTGTCACCTTTTTTTTTTTCACTGCCAGTGTAGGAGGCAAGTAACTATTTGAACAGCAGCATTTAGCACATTGCCTCAAGGAACAGAGGTCAGTGTCTTCAGCCTGAGAAGTTTCTGTGCTATAGGCCAGTGAAGGCTGTGATAGTGGCACAGTAATTTCTTTTCTTTCTTTTGGCTTAAAATTATGTTAAACTTATCCAAGCTGAAGGTGAAAAAAAGGCATCTGTTCTCTAAAATTTGTACTGATTTTAACTAAATAAATTTTCCTTCACATCATAGGTGTGTTGTGTGTAAATAAAAGATAATTTTATAAGATTGTCTGGGTAACAGAATTTATTTTTCATCTTCTACTGTGGTACCATAATAGGAAGCTGGTCTTAGATTCCCTCCCCTCAAAAACTTCTCCTTTCACCTGACCTTTGTGATTATCATAATACCTGGAGGGCAGTAGGTTTTATTAGTCAGATGCCATTTTAGTAAATGTGATTGAGAGAGTAAAGGCATTGGATTCGTATGGAGGTAAACAGCATACGAGTCACGTTTCACTCCAGTGATTTTAAATCAGTTAGGCAGGCTGTTCTTGTCAGCCCATATCCTGCAGTGTCTCAAAACAAAATGTCATTTGTGAAAGTGGTGTTAAACAGTCACTTTTCTATGCTTGAACCACTGCCACACTTGTGTGTGGAGCTGATCAGTGGAACTGACCTCTAATAAAAACATTTCTGATGCCACTGTTACACCTTGAAAAAAAGAAAAAAACTCTTCCTGCATTGCATCCAGCAGAGATCTACTAGGATCCAGAAGGAAATGCAAGCATTTTCATTCTTCTTGTAGCCTCCAAGGACCATGCGTGCAACATCTTTTGCTGATGATAAGGTTTTTTGCAAAATAGGTTTGCAGAATTGTCCTTTGTGTTTGTCTTAAAGCTTTTGGTCCCAGTGTCCGATGACTACACGATCTGTCTCTCTCATGTTTTGTTTTAGTCCTATGCACAATGCTTTCAGTGAAAAGCTTTGTCATAGGAAGATACGCCTTCCTAGAGCTCAGAAAAACAGGAAAAGATGAATCAAGGAGTGTTGTATTAAAAGAATAGTTTTCAAGTAAATATTTTAAATGATAAGTATCTCTTTCATGATTTTAGAATGCATATAGGTACTTTGTAATTTCCTATCTAAGGGTCCTTGAAAGTTCCATTTTAAAGTTGTTCTAAAATACTTTGGTTTATGGATAATCATCAGGATTCATGACTTAGGAGCAAAATCAGTAACATCATCAACCAAAGCAAACATTGCAGTGGAAAATGCAGAAAAGAAGACATTCAAATCAAAGACAAAAATTACTGAGGTGAGAAAAAGTTAAAATATTATATAAGGTCCTGAATACTACCAAACTCTATCACACCATTTAGTGAAATATTCTATGACTAGTAACTCTGGAGAGAATTCAGTTAAAAATGACTAACCATTTTGGACTGCTAGGATTTTTTTGTTGTTAGTTAATCAGATAATTGGTTCCTTTTGTCACTCTGCAGCTTATGCAGGATATAGGAAATCTACCTTCTACACAGACTCAAGAGCTTATTTTCTAATCTGTGCTGCAGTTTTATTCTAGGTTTGTAGGTAGTTTGTTTCACATAAAATAGTTTCATGTCAAGGCTCTTAATTGCAGAAATATATAAAAAATATTGTACTCATAGGCACTGCATCACACAACTGCACAAAGCTGAGCTCCAGTGGATGGAGAGGATGGTAGCCTGGTTGTTACCTGCTGGGTAACAGCAGGTTTGGTTTTTTACCCGCTGGGTAACAGCAGACTTATCTTGCTCTGCAAGATAATTTAGTGCTCCATGCTGACCAAGACACAGCCAGCCAAGACTGAAGGCCTTACCGAGTTCATACAACTCCTGTGGCTGCCATTGGTTATGGCAATACCGTGTTTGTTAGTCAGTACTTCTTGCTGCAGTTCTGTAATTCTGTGTCTTTGAATTTGGTCTTCAAACTGCTTGTTATCTTTGTGCTTGGGATTGCCTCATCCCAGGTGCAGGACCTTGCACTTGGCCTTACTGGACCTGATGAGATTCCTCTGGGCCCACTTCTCGAACTTGTCCAGGTCCCTCTGAGTGGTATCCCGTCCTTCAGGCCTGTCAGCCTCATCGCGTGTCTTGGTGTCATTTTTATAGTTTTGTGTTCCCTGAAGTATGTCTAAGCTTCTGGATTTACTGAAAATTCATCTAGATGAGTTTGGACTTCATTTTTACTGTGCGTGTTTTGATTCAGTTTAATAGCAGAGCCCTTTCTCTGCCATTGAGTAAGGCAAGTTTGTATCTTGTTGTTAATAATTATATTTAATCAGCATGGCTGAGATATGAATGAACTGGTGACCCAGTTCCATGGTGGCTCCTGAACCCTGTCTCTGGGACTCAGCTGGCAGTGGCGAGTGGGGTTTAGAACCACATTTCTTTTGCAGTCTTTAGCAGTGGGTGCTAGCATGGATCTTCCACATAATTTATTTTTTTCACCTTTTCAACATTCTTTCAAGTCTTGTGCAAAGTTACTGAATTTCACAGTTCTGATGTTTTCCTTATCAGGGTATTTTATGCTTCCAGATATATTCTTCACCCTCTTGGCAGCTTTTCTGTTTCAGTGAAACTGTGCTTTCAGTGCTGTGTGGTGATTAATGCATGCCTTTCTTTTTAACCCTTTGTCTCTCGTTTCTTCTGACACTTTCCCTCTTCATTCATACTTTATTCGTACAAATCCTAGTATTTCTGTTGCAACACGCGTTCTGCAAATGTCTTTTAAGAGGCCTCTCCTTGCCCTTGATCCATGTAGAGATTGTGTCCATGTCAGAAGAATCAAACTGACCCAAGTGTTCAAATGAACTTTGTTAAATCCATTAGTCCATGTGCTAACACAGAGCTCACTCAGGGTTTAGCTATAAGACTCTTCTGTCCTCAGCAAACATGTGTAGTTGATTCTTGCAGTGCCCTGAGTGCCCTTAATCTGATTTGAATTACTGGTAGTAGAAAGGGCTGACTCTCTGTTAGGAGTCACACGAATGTTTGAAAGCAGCTTCTAGAACTTAATTTGTCTTCAGATTATTTTGGTATGTTACTTGGACTGGTAAGGTATCTGCTAAGTTATTCCAGGGAAAACTAAATACTCCGGAGAATCTCAAACTTCTGTAGATTAGAATTTATTCCAGTTACCCTTGTGCAAACTTACTATGGCAAACAAACACAGCTATGGCAATATAAGGGGCTTTATTTTAAACCTTGTCTGATATTTGTGGCACATTCCTGTCAGTAGGGGTTCACTGTCATTACTGTGACCTTAGAGATGGCATGACAAACAACAGTGCTTGAGAGTGACCCTGTGCATACCTTTGGTGTCTGCCTGGTTCAGAAGCTAAAGTTTTGTTCAAAAGAACATGTTCTGGTACCATTTGTGTTGATTTTAGTTATCTTTTCATATAAGAATTCTGAGATAAAATTGTCTAATGTCTGTGAGAAGCCTTTGTAAAACAGTGATATGTAAGAAAATGTTTTATTTTTGTCTCTTGCATTTTAGATAGAACAGGGTAGGACTTCCTCTAAGAATAATTCTGGACAGAGAGATATGTGAAATTTATAAATCAAATTGTCTTTTTCTGTCTCTTGTGAAACTTTACCTGATGATAAGGAACATGCTAGTTTAAAAGTGGAATGAATTTTATTCCTCTGATAGCAATGTCTTGATAAAAAGAAAATGTGAAATCTCACCCTACCGAAGTCATTGGAAGCCATTGACAGAGTCCAGACTGTCTAAGTATTGATGCAAAAGTCGTGAGAGTCCTGACTACATCTTAAAGTTTTCTGGTTTTCTGTAAGCCCTGTTATGTCCACAAGTCATCACTTAGAGAGACAAATATAATTTGAAAAATCAGTGTCAAGTATCAGCTTGGGATAATGGATCTGTAGATTTTTTGTAATGGTTGTAGGGCTTATTTTGTACTGTAGAATCAGAGAACCACAGCATTGTTAGAGTTGGAAGGAACCTTGAACCTCATCTACTTCCAATCCCACTGCAATGGGCAGGGAACCTTCCATGAGACAAAGGTTCTCAAACCCCCACCCAGCGTGGCCTTGGACACTTCCAGGGGTGGTTAGTCCACAACCTATCTGGGCAACCTGTGCCAGTGCCCCACCACCCACACAGGAAAGAACTTCTTCCTAATACTTTATCTATATCTAACCTCCTTTAGCTTAAAGCTGCTGCCCCCTGTCTTGTCACTCCATGCCCTTGTGAAAAATCCCTCTTCAGCATTCTTGTAAGCCCCTTTAGGTACTGCAATGCTGCATTAAAGTCTCTCTGGAGCCTTCTCCTGGCTGAAGAGTCTCAGCTCTCTCAGGTTTTCTTCACAGGTGAGGTGCTCCAGCCCTCTGATCTACTGGACTTGTTCTGACAGATCAACATCTTTTTTGTGTTGGGGACCCCAGACCTGAAATTGTAATGTATGTGGACACTACTCTGGTGAAAACAGTATACAGAAAGTGCGGATAGCCCTTTCAGCTTTCTGAGAGAGGTAATAACATGGTTACACTTATATTTGTATATCCACTGAGAACTGGGAGTATGTCACACTATATGCCTGATCACTCAGGTTAAAACATGGGAAGAGGCTATATGGCTCGTTCCTGATAGCAGGCATTGTCCTTTCTGCTGTTTGATATGCTGGGCTAAATCATTAAGGTTAGAAAAGATGTCACAGTTGCAAGACTGCTGGAATATTTCCGAAATTTTCTGTGCTAGAAATGTGTGATATATTAAATCTGATACTTGTCACAATTCTTTTTTCTTTCATTTCATCCTGCTTCTTGTTGCTATCACCAGCACTCTAAATACTTTCATTCCTTTATTGGAACAGACATGTTGTTGCTTTGCGTCTTGGCCTTTGCCAAAGCTCAGGCCTTGGCAAAGGCCTAAGACGCAAAGGCTCTCTCTTTATAAACCGACCCTTAAATGAAAAGATCCTTTGAAAAGTAACTCTTATCAGAACAAAGTAACTTATACTTCCCAAAGTAATTTATACTTCGCAAACACTTGGAAAGCACTATTATATGTTTCTCGTCATTTGTGGAAGCTGTGTTTAGCTGTCATAGTCATTCTCTTATGAGCAACAGTTGTGACAGTTGTTGTATTGCTTATCTTGGGACTCTTTTATACCAATCATTATTATTGTGACTTTGCTCCACAGGACCAAACTCAATACAGTGGATCTTCTCCTCCCCACTGTCCTCCATCTCTCTGTCAATTTCCTGATGTGTTTTCTTCCTTTGTGCCAGGATGTGTGAGTAGGTGAGGTTGGAGACATTCTAGTTTTGTCAGTAGGAGCAGGTAAAAATGTTCAGCTTCTGCATACAGAGAGAGGTCTGCTGGGTCCAATTCCTGTTTGTCAGCACTGAGAGAGTGCTTGCACACTCATTAGTACCAGATCAGTGCACTGTGGATTGCCAGGCAGTAGGAAATTGATCTGGGTAAGGTTGTGGGCCTGTGTCTGTGATTCTGCTGAATTCACTGATTGCAAAATCTAGCTCTTCTGTGGCTTTTTGGCAGTTGTAAGAGGAGAGGCAACACTTGATTCAGCATGTAGCCTGGAAAGGTAGTTAATCAGTGATTTCTTTTTAACAATTCTGAATTACAGCTATGCTTAGTGCCTGAAAAATGCATGCAGACTCACAGCTCTAGTACCCTTCATCCAGCAGTTGGGAGTCTGAGAGCTGAATTTTTAGTGAAACGGAGACATGGTCTTAGCTGTTGCTGAATTCTGCTGTTTATGGAAGTTTTGTTTCTGCATTTGGTGGCTCTGCAGTTAGATTAGCAGGGCTTTGAAAAATTCAGCCCTGGCCATTTTCATGGCAGCTGTGCTCTCTGCAGGGGTCACTGATGCATTTGACTGCCAAAGGAGCAGAAGCATCTCCCTGTGGATGTACTTGTCATTGGCAGTGGAGGGCAACAATTAGGTCTGTGTTTGAACACTTCTAAATGTTGAGCAGCTGAGGTTAACTGTGAAAAAAATGTCTCATGGACCCCTCGGGTGCCTGATCTGCAGAGTTTGGATGTCTTTTGTGGCACTTCCTGTGGAGAAGTGGTCACAGGCTAAAGCATCCTTTTGTTTTGGAGAAATCAGGGCCAGCCCCTGGTCTGTTGGCCAAGATGCCAGTGTCACACAGATGTTGGTTGTTTCATCACCGCCGAGACCCAGGTTCGATTCCTGGTTGGGGCCCCTCCCCGGGCAGATGGATCTCGTTAGCCCTGTAAGGCAATCCATCTACGTCCTGAGGGCCTCGCTGCCACCATCCAAGCTCGCTTGGCCCCGGCAGATGAACCTCAGGATTAAAGGGTGGGCTCAGTTCCGCGCACACTGTGTCTCACCTAAAAAAAAAAATCCAATGCGCAGGCTAGAAGGTGTAAAGACCTTCCCCGGTTCTTCGTTCACGAAGACTGGCCATTACTAATTACAAGGGTAAGGAGATGCATAATGGTGGCTTTTAAGCTAAGCTGTGACCATGTTGTATGATTGATGCCTGGCTTTATAAATGGGATGGGAACATCATCACATGGCTCCCCTGGAAACTCTGAGAAGAAACTTGCAGCTCTTATGATCCCATCATCTATAGAATAATCATAGTTATGATGGAGTTATGAATGGATAATTGACTCCCGATATTAACAGCTAAATGAGTGAACCTAGAGTTATGAAATACTGGCTTAGGTTTGTGAAGAAATAATAAAGGGGTCCTATTACTTCTGATGTGCCCCATTGTATCCACTGCTAGTAACAAGCCACAGACCAAAATCTTCATTAACTTTAAGACTTCAGTTAGGTC